TACACACATAAAGATACACAACATATCCCTCCAAACTGCCAATATCCCAAACCCCTCCTTTAAAGTGCAGGCATTGTACTTCCCATTTCCAGGACTCAAGTCCGACTATATGAAAATAACCGGTTTCCCTGAATCCCTTCACTAAATATTACCCTGCTCACACTCCAACAGATCGTCAGGTCCCAAGTACCATTCGTCTCCATTCACTCCTATCTAACACGCTCACGCACGCTTGCTGGAAGTCCAAGCCCCTTACCCACAAAACCTCCTTTACCCCCTCTCTCCAACCCTTTCGAGGACGACCCCTACCCCGCCTTCCTTCCCCTATAGATTTATATGTTTTCCATGTCATTCTACTTTGATCCATTCTCTCTAAATGACCAAACCACCTCAACAACCCCTCTTCTGCCCTCTGACTAATACTTTTATTAACTCCACACCTTCTCCTAATTTCCACACTCCGAATTTTCTGCATAATATTTACACCACACATTGCCCTTAAACAGGACATCTCCACTGCCTCCAACCGTCTCCTCGCTGCTGCATTTACCACCCAAGCTTCACACCCATATAAGAGTGTTGGTACTACTATACTTTCATACATTCCCTTCTTTGCCTCCATAGATAACGTTTTTTGACTCCACATATACCTCAACGCACCACTCACCTTTTTTCCCTCATCAATTCTATGATTAACCTCATCCTTCATAAATCCATCCGCCGACACGTCAACTCCCAAGTATCTGAAAACATTCACTTCTTCCATACTCCTCCCCAATTTGATATCTATGTCTACTAAGAAAATTATCGCCCCTAATTAGGGAGACATCTTGTATAACATTTCTACTTTTACATCTACTGATATAAACTCGCTACACTTACTATGGCGGGACACCACCTTGAGAGAAACTAACATGTCAAGCAATTCTTCATCAGTTCTGCAGACAATTACCGCTTTGCCTTGCCGTTTAAATATTTGTTATGCAATCGCAAAAAAAAAGCAATTGCAACTTGTATATCTACTACCATTCAGAGTCATGTACCTATATATCTGTTATGTCTATGTGACTCTGATGGGTTAGTATTATACCCCTTCAAGAATTTTCTGTTATTACACATACACATTTTAAATTGCACCAAAGTGGTTGGGCCACTTCTCTTTTATATCCTACCTCACTCCCCCTCCCACCCTTTTCCAATATTTCTGTCCTTACCCATCCTTCTTCCTTACCCATCTTACCAAAGACTCTGGTCATAAGAAGCGAAAGGTTTGAATCAGAGTCCATCCAAATTTTTTCCCCTCCTGCAAACCGAACTGTGTTAAATTAATTTTACAATGTTGTATAAAACTATACCACAATTTTTCAGTAGTAATAACCAAAACATACCAACAAAATTCATGCAATATAAGGGTCTACTGTACTCTCGAAGTCATTCTATTTTATTCCATCCTCTCCGCATGTCTGAACCACCTCAACAACCCCTCCTCAGCCCTCTGGATAATAGTTTTGGTAATCCCTCACCTCCTCCAAATTTTCAAACTACAAATTTTCTGCATTATATTCACACCACACATTGCCTTCAGATACCTCACCACTGCCTCCAGCCTTCTCCTTGTTGCAACATTCACCACCCATGCTTCACCCCCATATAAGTGTTGGTATAACTATATTCTCATACATTCTCCTCTTTGCTTCCATGTATCTGAATACATATCTCATCACCTTACTCTTTTCTATATTCACTTTCAATTTTCTTCTTTTACATACCCTACCAGACTCATCCACCATCCTCTTCAACTTTTCTTCAGAATCTCCCAAAAGCACAGTGTCATCAGCAAAGAGCAACTGTAACAACTCCCACTTCGTGTTAAAGTCTATCTTTTAACCCCATGCCTCTTGCCAACACCCGAGCATTCATTTCTCTCACAACCCCATCCATAAATATATTGAACAACCGTGGTGACATCACATATCCTTGTCTAAGGCCTACCTGAGTGTCACTATCCTCATAAAAGCTCTTCACTGCTGTGAATAACCTACCTCCTATTCCATACATTTGCAACATCTACCACATTGCCCTCCCATCCACCCTGTCATGCGCCTCTTCGAAATCCATAAATGCCACAAAAACAATTTTACCCTTATCTCAATACTGTTCACCTAAATGTTTCACTGTAAATGCTTGGGCTATACACCCCCTACCCTTCCTAAAGCCTCCTTGTGCATCTGCTGTCCTACTCTCCATCGTACTCTTAATTCTTTCAATAATAACTTACCATACACTTTACCAGGTATACTCAGCAGACTTATTCCCCTATAATTTTTGCACTCTCTTTTGTCCCCTTTGCCTTTATACAAAGGAACTATGCATGCGCTCTGCCAGTCCCTAGGTACCTTATCCTCTTCCATACATTTATTAAATAAAAGCACCAACCACTCCAAAACTATATCCCCACCTGTTTTTAACATTTCTATCTTTATCCCATCAGTCCCAGCTGAATTACCCCTTTTCATTCTACCCACTGCCTCACGAACTTCCCCCACACTCACAACTGGCTCTTCCTCACTCCTACAAGATGTTATTCCTCCTTGCCCTATATGCAAAATCACAGCTTCCCTATCTTCATCAACATATAGCAATTTCTCAAAATATTCCCTCCATCTTCCTGATACGTCTACCTCTCCATTTACTAACTCGCTTCTCATATTTTTAACTATCATATCCATTCGTTCCCTAGGCTTCCTCAACTTAATAATCTCACTCCAAAACTTTTTCTTATTCTCAACAAAATACATTGATAACATCTCACCCACTCTCTCATTTGCTCTCTTTTTACATTGCTTCACCACTCTCTTAACCTCTCTCTATCTCTCCATATGCTCCTCCCCCCTTGCATCATTTCGAATTTGTAAGAACCTCTCACATGCTAACTTTTTCTTTCTTACTGCTCTCTTTACATCATTCCACTAATCACTCTTCTTCCCTTCTGCACCCACTTTTCTGTAACCATAAACTTCTGCTGAACACTCTAACACTACATTCTTAAACCTACACCATACATCTTCAACCTCATTGCCTAAACTCTTACTAGCCCATCTATCCTTCAGTAGTTGTTTATATCTTACCCTAACTGCCTCCTCCTTCACATCTCTCTTACTTGCTGTATCAATTTTCCTTGTATCTCATCTACCTTTTAATAAAATATAACCTAGAATAATTGGTCATGGTTTAAGCCATTGCACTAGTTGAGGCAGATGTTGTAAAAGCCTGTTAAACAGACAGGGTGGAAAAGGGGGGGCCTCTTCCCTTCCTCGGGAAGATCACCAAGAAATAAGATGTTTCTGCTGTTTTGAGGCCTAATTCATTCTGCTTGTCTCCATTTCACTAGTATGTGTTCCTGTCTATCAATTGACACCAAAAAATTGCCAAAAAAGCCATGAAAATTGCCTTATAAGATGCCTTAAAGTTGTTATTTTAACCCATACACACAGTCAGGGATAAGCTGTTCCCATCTGGAACTGCATAGGGCAGGATTTTATTGTTATACTGTGCAAATCCACCACATAGACCCATTCTCTCTTGTCTAGGTCAAAATTTACGGTTTTCATCAGTTTGCGTGTGGCCAGCCTGGTTGATCAGACCCTGACCCACCACGAAGCCTGGTCTCAGACCAGGCCACGGGGGCATTGACCCCTGAAACCCTCTCCAGGTATGCTCCAGGCATACACAGCGTATTTGATGGTGCAATGATTAACCCTTTGACTGTTTCAGGCCCCTCTCTGAAACTGTCATTCTATGTCGCTCAATTTTTGAAAAAAAAAAAAATTTTTTTTCTTATGAAATGATAGAGAATCTTTTCCCGATGGTAATGACACCAAAAGTTCGAAATTTGGTCGAAAACTCGTGGAATTATGCTCCCGCGAAGTTAGCGGTCTCGGCGACATATGCGTATCGGCGATTTCGCCGACTTTGAGCCCAATTTTCAGCCAATTCCATTGTTCCAGTTGACCAAACTCATAGCTATTTCTTTAGAACTCCATTTTGTCTATCAGCTGAGTACAAGAAACCTCCCATTTACTAATTTGGACTACCCAATATGGTGGTCAGAAATTGGCAATTTGGCCAATTTCACGCAAAATAAAAAAGATGCAATTTCAAAATAGGGTCCAGAATAAACAAGGTAGACATTCGTGGCACTAAAATAACATATGCTCTGTTCATTAGTCACATCTCTAGGCCCCTCTTATATTATTATTGCTTTCTATTTTGATTTTTTATTCATACAAAAAAATACAAAATTTACTGTTATGCAGACGACTGCATTATTGTAAAAATGGTATAAATAATATCAGTGCACTAGTGAAAGAATATTAGACTCCCCAGTTGACGTGTATTGGACGTGTGGTGTGATTTATGTACTCTTGAACATTGGTAAAAATCGAACATTTCCGCTACTTTGAGCTCAGTTTCAAGGTCGTTTTCATCGTAAAAGTAATGAAAATCATCTCTATTTCTGTAATATGTTTTCCATTTTATCACCTAAGACCATGAAAACGCGAATACACGTACAACGATAAATACTATACGAAAATACACCTCAAAGTCGGCGTTTTATTCCAAAAAAACGATCAGAGTTTTTTTTTTCTCATTACGCAATGTGTGCTGCAGGATTTTTTTTATGTGGTGCACACTGACCACACAGACCCATTCTCTCACATGTGGGCCTACCAGCTTTCTCCCGCTTGATTTGAAGCCGCTAGAATTATTGAGTATATATACGTCAGAAACATTGGCTCGTAAGACGTATTTATACGTCGAAAACAGTCAAAGGGTTAAGACATATTTATATGCAATTGCTGCTGTCCTCATAAATGTATGTACATGTATATGTAGGAGACATTTAAAAGATTAATTTTATAATTTATTGAAAATAAATTTTATTTGTATATTAAGAATACTAATATAATTTCTCTCATTTGTCTTTCTTGCCACAATAGCCCGATGCCAAAGAAAAAATGGTCGCAACAGCATCTTCCTGTTCCTCTGATAAACTGAGAGATGACAATGAATCGTCCAATGATGCCAAACCTCGAAAGATCCGAAAACATGCATCCGTAGATTCTGGAAATGAGGCAAGCTCAGAGGACAGTAATGACAGCATGAGGATGAGCGGCCGAAAAATAGATAAGACCAGTACAAGTTGTAAGCTTTTTTGATAATGCTGTTTGTTTAGTATATGAAAAAAGATGTATTTTACATGAATTTGAAAATATTAACTATGATCATGCAAGAGTTTGCATATCAATAATTCTAGCTATCATGCATGCTCATGATACATTTTGATCCTCTAAGCATGGACCGTTCAAAAAATTAATGGTGTACCAAAGGTACAAGAAACTCTACCAACATAGTATGGTATAAAAGAATGTGTAAGTATTGGCTCATTAGACAATGGTGAAAGTGTACCAAACTATACTATTGAGCATACTATACACACTGAAACAACAGACCACTTTTATGTTCATGATGAATAAGATGTGTCCAACATCTGGGTGTCTTTATGCTTAAAAATACTGCCAACTTGTGGCTTTATCAGTACAATACAGGGAAGACTGTAGAAAAAGAGATAATCACTCCCTTAGTCTTGTAGAATTATATACATATTCATATTTTGGGAATTATCCTTTTAATAGAGGAATATTGACAGTAAAGTATGGATAAATTGTAGTTTGTTTGGGGTCAAAACAAAGACATTTACCAGGATGAGGATTTACTACTATTGGACAAAGTTGTAATGTACTCTTTAATATAATGTTGTCCAGTAAAGACGAGCCTTGCTAAATGTGTTCGTTGTACCCCATTTGTTGGCTTTTTTGCTTGTCATTCCATTCTGTGTGTGTGTTTGTGTTTATATTTCTACAAGCAGTAAGTCAGTGCCTTATCCTAGTACAACTTTAATATTATTAACAATATAAAACAAGTTATTGACTCAGGTATAATTAATTTACAGTAATTGTTTTACTGTATCTAACAATATTTTTTCACCTATGCAGGAAAAAAATTGAAGCTGATTCTATGTAGAAACTTTTGACTCCTGGACATGAGTAACTTTTGACCTCTTTATACTAGGTATTACATATTGTTTTGTGTAGGTTTTTGTTAGATTCATCCTGTTCTTGACTCCAGACTAAGTTTTACATTATACACCACTTCACAGGTGTTGAGTTTGAGTGCAAAACATCAGTCTTGTCAGTGAACGGCAATGGAAGTCTGGGCAGCATGCACAATAAAAGAGTGGTGTGCACAGATTCAGATGTTGTTCGCACAAACAATAAATATGTTTACACTAAGCCACTCACCCTTGAGAGTCTGACAGTCAAATTATCAGATGCAACAGAGCCTTACAACCTGGTGACGTGGCTGGGTTCAGAGGCTTCTATGTTCCGTGTGCTGCACAAAGTCTTCCTCAACAATTACTGTGCCATCTCCCAAGCCATCCTCACTAAAACTTGTCAACAGGTAAATATTCTCACATGTGCATAATACAGTACTGAGTTATTATACTCTGATATGTTTCCTATTATTTTTTTTCATTCCTTCTCTTCCATCAACCTTTGACATCTGTTCATCATAATGCAGCGGAGTGGTTTTAACAACAATTGTTTGAAGGGAAGGGTTGTCCTACCCTAGAAGAATGGATGCTCTTTCCTAGAGTGTTGGCCAGACTAAGAGCCCAGCACTCCCAACTCCCCTTTATTTGACCAAAGTAGTAGAGATTTTTCTTCATGAACAAGGGATGAGAGGAGTAGAATGACAGAGGACAAAGAAGAAAAGATGAAAGAACATATATACAGTGGAACCTCAGTACTTGAACAGCTCGCTACTTGAACAAAGCTTGGCACTCAACCAAACAAACACAACCTGCCAGAACTTCGCTGTAGACTATTTCATGTTTCTTCACATTTTTTGTATTTTTTATATTATTTGTATAAATAAGTCACCATGGGGCCTATGAAGATTAGTGATAACAGCCAACCAAAAAGAAATTTGATTGGGAAAATTTTTTTCGATACTTGAACAGATCAGCACTCAAACACCTTTCTGGAAAGAATTAAGTTCGAGTACGGAGGTTCCTGCTTTCTTATATACACCAGCCAGGGTACTTCCCCACATACCAGACAGGGTACTTTCCCACACACACGATTTGATATGAGTGGGACTTGTGCATGAGTGAATAGAATTATCAAAGCTTATTGCTTGGGGAGCAGTGAAAATTGGGTTGGGCAAACACAATTCTGTTAGTGGGATGGTTTGTGAAGGACCTGCCTAGTATGGGCCAACAGGCCTGCTGCGGTGTTCCAGCTTTCTTATGTACACCAGCTGAGGAAATTGCTTCAGAAGAGGAGAGAGAGGGAAACAGGTGCCTTCTTCAAAGATTAAAGACATTTGTGCAAAGTGGAGTGAGGTGCAAACATTTGTGGAGGAACAAATGACAACATCATGAACGGCTTGACAACATCATGAATGGAAATGGGATCAATCCTATTATTTGCCTCAGTGCTGGAGGCAATGATGTAGGCAAGCGTAGAAGTGAGGATTTAGTTAGAAAGTTTAGGACAGCTATAGACATAATTAGGAAGAAGGGGGGGGGTGCCCTGTTATATGTGGCATTTTGGTAATGAATGGTTATATGTGGCATTTTGGTAATGAATGGTTGTCCAGAGCAATTGGTATTAATTGTTGGCTGGATAAACACTGTAAGGATAATGCAGTACCATTCATTGACAACTGGGACAGCTTCTATGGCCGAAATGACATGTATACCAGGGATGGGGTTCACTTATCCAGGGCAGGTGTGGGTTTTCTTGCTAACTCAGTTGAGGGGGTTGTTAGGACTTTAAACTAGGATTAGTTAGAGGTATGGGTTTAGAAATGATAAATAATGAGTATGGATATATTGACTTATGCTCTGATATTAAGAACCTTAATAGTAACTGTCATGGAGTAACTCTGGGTAATGATAATTTCAGAAATTGTGTAAAAACAAAGATGAATAGGAAAAATGTGCAGAAGAAAAACATATGATGGTATTTTATGCTAACAGTCGAAGTGCAAGAAATAAAATTAATGAACTACGTTTGGTAGCATATGCTGGGAACTTTGATATCATTGCATTAACTGGAACGTGGTATGATTTAAAGAGTCGGGATATGACTGCTGAGTGTAATATTCAGGGATTTAAGTTGTTCAATGTGGATAGATGTAATGGGAAGGGGGGAGGAGTTGCATTGTATGTTTGAGAAAATATTAATTGTTGCATAAAAACAGGTATAAAAATAGATGGAGCAGTAACAGAGTCTGTTTGGGTAGAGTTTGTGGAGGGTCAAGAAAAACTAATTCTAGAAAACGAAATCAAAGATATCAAAGCAACACTCGAGCGACGAGAATCCAAGATAACCAACCTCGAGAACAAGATCCAAAACCTTGAAGAGAAGATTACATCGGGAAGTGTTGACACAGAAAATACTCTGAAAGCAGCTATAGCCAGTCACACCAAACAAATAACTACAATAAATATGAAGGTTGAAGAAGCAATCAAGGACTGGAATCAGAACATGCACACTCGACTAAATGAATACCTTGATTTCCAAGACGACAAAACTGAACAAGATAAGTTGTCTGATACAGTTATAATAAACAGTCCACACATTCCAAGTGATATAACACAAGCTCAGTGCAAAGAAACTGCTGTCAGGATAATACAGGACCACGTACAAGTCATCGTGCAAAACAATGAAATCAAAGAAACACGTTTGTTAGGAAAACCAGGAAGTAAACACAGTATAATGATCAGACTTCATTCATACGATAAAAGAAAGGACCTAATTAAATCAGCAATTACAATGAAAAATGGAGTGTACATAAATGAGTGTCTAACAAGAAAACGTCAAAACCTTCTGTTCAGGCTGAGAAAACTTAAACAGGAAAACAAAATACATCAGTGTTTCACGCGAGATGGGAAAATACTAGTAAGGAAAAAATCAACAGGACAACAATATACTATCTCAAACGAACACAATTTCTCTACCTTCCTTAGAAAAGCTGTCATTTCTGTAACAGATTAGATAAGTGCTGTTAATACATATATACGTGTGGTGCATATAGTGTACCTTACTATTATATTGTGCATTATTGTTTTTATTATTTTTTTCATCACAAGCTAATGCTAACTACCTCCAATACTTTTTTACTTTCTTACTGCTATTAATTGCTCATAATTTTATGTTACAAGTCAAATCTTACTCCAAATTAATATTATTCATTGTTCTTACCTGTCCATTTAATTTTGTTTACCACTACTTGTTTTTTTAGTCACTTTTTATTGTGTGTGCAATTAGTGTATATTCCAATTACTTTTTTGCAAGTACCAAAACTATCTTTTGCTAGCTAGTACCAACTACCTCATTTTTTTTTACTTTTATTGTGCAATAAACTGCTCAACTTATTTAATATTACAAATCAGATCTTACTCCTAAACCAATATTATTTCACAGTGACTATCTGTCTATTTAACTTGTTTACCATTACTTAATTGTAGTCCCTACATTATTTTTTTTTCCTTTATTTTAGCTTTATATAACTACCTTAGCTCATATATTCACAATTGTTAAAATAATCAAGGTGCTATTCTCAGGTGCTAAAGTTAATAAGTTCACTATTTTGCCATTATACTCCAAAGCTCATTTATTTGATTACCACTTTATTGTTCACCACAACTTATATTAGTCCCTTTTATATTATAATTTTATATTATAATTCTAACTTTAAAGAATTACCTTTATAGTACTACCTACTATCATATTCCCAAGCTCCATTATTTGATCATCACTATATTTGTTCACCACAAATTATTTTAGTCCCTTTTATATTGTCTCCTTTATTTTAGCTTTAAAAAACTACCTTAGCTCATTATTTTTACATTTGTTAAATAATTCAGGTGATATTTTTTTTTAGCTTTAGAATATTTACTTTAGTTTTTACTTAATTCTAACTATAGATTCACTACAAATCTTATGATTACAAGCATTGATCCTGATACCAACCTCTTATTTAATGACTTAAATGATTCAAACAGTTACTGTAATTACTACACAGCAGAACAATCAAAGGCACTTCTCAGAGCCAACAACAACATAACTGTCTTTAACTACAATATCAGATCTTTAACCCTTTGAGGGTTTTCGTCGTACTAGTACGTCTTACGCGTAGGGGTTTTTGACGTACTAGTACGCATAAATTCTAGCGGCCTCAAATCTAGTGGGAGAAAGCTGGTAGGCCTTCATATGAAAGAATGGGTCTGTGTGGTCAGTGTGCACAGTCTAAAAAAAATCCTGCAGCACACAGTGCATAATGAGAAAAAAAAAACTTTGACCATTTTTTTTGGAATAAATCAGCGACTTTGCAGTGTATTTTCGTATGGTATTTATTGTTGTATTCTAGTTTTCTTGGTCTCATTTTATAGAATGGAAGACATATTACAGAAATTGAGATGATTTTGACTGGTTTTACGAAGAAAGGTGCCATGAAATTGAGCTCAAAGTAGCAGAAATGTTCGATTTTTAGCAAACTTCAAAAGTAAACAAATCGTGCCAAGCGTGCAATACACGTCAAATGGTGATCTAATATTCTTTCACAAGTGCACCCAAAAATTATTATACCATTTTTTACACTAATGCAGTAGTCTGCATAACAGTAAATCTTATATTTTTTGTGAAAATAAAAATTCAAAGTGGAAAGCAAAAGAATATAAGAGGGGCCTTGAGACATGACTAATGACTAGAGGAAATGTCATTTTAGTGCCAGGAATGTCTTTCTTGTTTATTCTGGACCCTATTCGGAAATTGGCATCTTTTGAAATTTGTGTGAAATTGGCAAAATTGCTAAATTCTGACCACTGTACTGGATAGTTGAATTTCATGAATGAGTGGTTTCTTGCACCCATTCGATAGAAAAAATGGAGTTCTAGCGAAATATTCATGTTTTTTGTCGACTAGTACAGTGAAATTGGCCGAAAATGGGGCTCAAAGTGGGCAAAATCGCCGATCCGTAAACATCGCCGAGACCGCTAACTTTGCGAGAGCATAATTCCGTAAGTTTTCTATCAAATTTCAAACTTTTGGTGTCTTTATGATCGGGAAAAGATTCTCTATCTTTTCATAAGAGAAAATAATTTTTTTTTTTTTTTAAATTTGGCCGACCCTGAGAACGAGTTTCGGAGAGGACCTGTCGACCCTCAAAGGGTTAAGCAAGCATTATGATGACCTCCTAGCATTACTAAATTCCTTGCATGCCAATATGTCCATCATTACACTAACTGAAACCTGGCTAAAGCCTGACACTACAGATGTCTATGCCATTCCTGGTTACACAGCCATACACAACTGTAGGCCAGACCAACAAGGGGGTGGCACTGCTATATACTACTCAGACCAACTAGAATGTATCACTAATACTTGCAC